GAGCTTTCATATTTTTGCACTCACAGACATGTCAAAGGGCCACATTTCATGTCCAGGTACACACTTCCAGGTACTTTCGTTTCTCTGCTCCTGCAGGCAAAGTGGTTCCATTAGCCTCAAGGCAGTTCCTAGAAGAATTACAGAAATTCACAGAAATGGTAAGAGAGATCTGTTATAGACCACTGTGGAGCACTGACAGTGGTAATTACAAACATCACATAAATCACTATAAATATTATTGTTAGCCTTCTACCAAAGGACTTGCAACACATACGGAGGACCTGCAACACATAACTACAGGGAGGATTTTGTGGCCAGGTGATCTGACCTAATGCTAATCTCTTGGGGCCTAGGATACTTTTGTGTTCACCCAGTGAAGAAGATCTTTATGGGGTAAAAGAGAGGTCAGGAGATAAATGGAGTTTGGGCTTGAAATCATATTATGGTCTGGCCTGGGGCTGTGAACACATCCTGTACAATGGCACAATTCCTGAGCCTGAAATACTCTGGCTTTGCAGTATTGACACCAGGCAGAGTGTACTCTGTAGCAGAAGGGAGATTTTCCCAATGGACAATATTTCAAATGATGAATCTTGTGATCCACTTTCCCAAAAAGAAATCATGGATTTACTGTTTCATGAAGGGTAGCTAGCTGTTCAAAATTTCAGGGACACACAATGAACAAGATAGGCAAGAATAGATTGGGGGATAGATTTGTGGCTGGACCTCTCAGATTGAGCCCAGATTATGGGGATAGGGGGACAGTACTCATTAACATACTCTACCTGAAAGAGTGGTTCTCAGCAATCAAGTAGTTAAACTGACCTGCTTTGGAGTCAATCAGCTATTTTCTCCAAAGGCAATGCTTAAAGTTATGGAGATTATACATGGCCTTCTTACCAAAGCACACCTGGCTAATGCCACTTCTGTGTACTCAATTTTCCAAAACAACCAATGCTGAGTCCCTGGAGAGTTAATGAAACTGGATGGGGGTGTAGCCAGCCAGACTAGTTTAACTGTATAGGAAGCAGTAATACATCCTCACCAGAATAGACTTATTCTGCCCTGGATTTGTCCTCCTTCCCTTCCCACAATATTTCTGCCAGCAACACCATCCATGAACTAACTAAATGCCTCGTTCACTCTCCCATTATTCCACATTTACATTTTAATCCATGCTAGGTTAATTCTTACAAAGGAGTCTGTTTATGGAAAGCACTAGTGTTATCATTTACCTTATTACTTAGAATCCATAGGTCGTATGAAATGATCGACTAGCCTACTGAATATTTATAGTTTCATTTGTATGTCAGCACATTGCTAGTTTGAAAATGCTGTCCTATAGGATGTTACATGCTTGGAATCAACTACCAACAAATGGCTGTATCTCTCCAATAGCCAGGATACATGGATTTAGGAACTACAATGTGTAAGTAGGGTTGTTAGCTTTCACTATTACACCTAACCATGTACTTATAAAAGGTTTATTTCCTGTCCCTGCAACAGAGAAATCTTCTGTTTCAAGGTCTTAGACCCAATGGATAAATGCTTCTATATAGGCACACAAAAATGATTCATTAAATTAGAACTTGATATAAACAGTTCTTGACTTTGTGTCAATGAGACATAAGAGAATATACTATTTTGGCTGTGGGTAATTGGTCTTTACAATGGGAGTGAAAGCAGATAGGTTCTCCATAGAGAGAACAGGCAGAACTGTATCTGGGACTTAGAAGCCTAATGATGTTCCTAGAGCCTTTTCCAGGGATAAAATTATAATAACTTCAAACAAGCAAGTCTGCAAAAGGTTCAGCTCCTTTAAAAGTAAAGGTCTGGGTCACCCTACAAGATATAGAACAATAACCAACTAAGATTTTGATAGAATAATAACCAAGGGAATTTGGAATATAGAGTCTAAGTACAAAGTTGTAATACTTTATTATAACAAAGTTGCAAAAAAGAAGGACACCTACAAACACGCACACTTTATTTTTTTGACGCTCATAAATATGTGACAACATTTCCATGCCCCACCTTTGAAAATATTGTTATGTTTTAGTCTGTATGTCTGAAAACATCAAAATGGAATTGTGAACACACAAGAGGAGAAAGGGACATCACCTAGATCTCAGACTTAGAGTTGGATTAAGTAACTGAGGAGACTTTGGATATTCTCTTAAGGAAAAATGTAAGAGCCTTTAAAGTATAATTGATATTGGCTCTGGCCAGATGCCTCAGTTGGTTAGAGTGATATCCTAAAATGCCAAGGTTGTGGGTTCAATCTCTCAGGGACCATACAAGGAGCCATCATTGAATGAGTAAATAAGTGGAACAACAAATTGATGTTTCTCTCACTCTCAGTTAAATATATATGTGTGTGTGTGTGTGTGTGTGTGTGTGTGTGTGTGTGTATAGAGAGAGAGAGAGAGTCTGTCCAGAAAGTATCCATCCATGAATGTGAAAAAGACCTTTATTCAAGAACACACAAGATACAAGAAATGTTGTACATAGGACAACAATGCCTCTGTCACCTTCAAAGTAGGCACCTTGGGACCTCACACAGTTCTCCTAATCACCATTAGCTGCCCCATCATATTTTTCTGAATCTCATTGACAGTCTGAAATCTCTTCCCTTCAAAGGTGATTTTAGTGTTAAGAAAAGCCAGAAGTTGCAGGGCGCCAAATCTGGGCTGCAAAAAGGCTGAGTCACCTGGGTGATTTGATGTTTTGCCAAAAACTCTGCATGAGACATGATACATGAGCAGGCACGTTGTCATGATGAAGCTGTCAATCGCCAGTTGCCCACAGCTGTGGCCTTCTGAATCATCTGAATAGTTTCCTCAAAGTGATGTTCAACCTTAACTCAAAATGTGATGCAGATCTGTTGCTCTACTCATTCATTTGTTTTGAATTTGAGGTCCACACAGTGCCCATGCTCACTCAACAGCGTCCATTGCCCCCACTGACAAAACCAGTGAAGTTGTCATTGTTCATGCATGTGCATTCCAGTCCACTCTCCTTGGTTGCCAGTTTATATAAATGTTGCACAAACCATTATCAATATATTTACAATGGTTGGACTTTTTTCCAGACAGTCTATAGGTGCTCCTGGACTTACAATGAGGATACATCCCAGTAAACTCATTGTAAATTAAAAATATCATAAGTTGAAAATGTATTTACTGCTACACTGTAGAGTACCAGCTGTTTAACTCTCAGGATCATGTGGCTGATTGGAAGCTGTGACTCTGTGCTGCCCACCTTCACAAGAGAATATTGTACTCCTTGTTAGTTCAGAAAACATCAAAAATTCAAAATTTAAGGTATGGTTTCTACTGGATACATATAGCTTTTGCAGAATCATAAAGTCCAACCAATTACATAGGTTGAACCATTGTAAATTGGGGACCATCTATATTAGGTTGGAGAGTATAGTTGATATTTTGTGTATAAGTTTAAAGTGGTAACAGAATGTATATTGGTGTTTGTCAACAGAAAGATAGGCTAAAATAGACATTTCTCATTTATGTCTGACTAGAAAATAAATTTTAAACACCCACTTTGCATTTTGATATTGTGTCATACTCTAAGTTCTATTGATACCTTCTTTAGCTTGATTCCAGTTTTTAAAAATCCTGCATGTCCTAGAGAGTACAGAAGCTAGGGTGGGCCATGCCATCATAGTTCCATCAATCAGGAACATTCATGCAAGACAATGGCTCAGTAGTAAACTATGTGTGCAGTTTCTATGTGGTAATTTTTTTCTTACTGCAGGTAATACTATCTTTCTTGAGATGCTGGTGACAGATTGTTCATCAGTCCAGTTCTCTCTCTGGTGTGTTCTTGCTCATTGTTTCTGGGAACTAGTGTTGTTTCTTTATCTCTCTCTCTGTTACTTCATCTCTTTTCCTTGAATTTGCCAAGTGGATTCTTTTGTTTGAAACTAAGACCTTTAATTTTACCTTATAAAATGCATACATCTGAAGGTAGCCTTTATAAATATGTGGTGTTGGAAAGGAGAAATACAGGAATTTTAAATTAGCCAGGGCTAGGGCCTGTATTTTTTAGTGAGACTGTCCCAAAGGGATTAAAAAATGCCTAAAATTTTACAATGAGAATAAATAGTGCCATGTTAATTTTGTTCACCTGCTGACTTCTGGTGCAGTCTGATAATTTTATACTTACTTCTGGTTTTTAACCATGAGAATAGAGAAAATTGACCCCACAGAAAATACTGATACATTCTCTGCTATAAAGTTTGGCCCCTGGGTTGTAAAGATAATTAAAGAGAATGGCTATAACATTGACAAAGGCTAAAAGACACTATTTTTACTCCTAGCTCTACATACTTTGGGAGAAAAATGTGCAATGAACAATAGTGAGACTGGTAATCAGTAGAACACTTATATTTTCATATGTGCTTTTTATCTCAACCCTGCTATTAATGCATTTTTTCGTCTGGGCATTTAACTTGGTTTATAATCACTTTCTTTAACTGTTGGTGTATGTGTATGTGCTTGTGTAGACAGATACAGCTCTTCTCCTATGATGAACAGGAGCACTAAAAATACATAGTGTAATGAAAAACAACATTTATTGGATGTGTATAGACATAGCACCTGTTGTTTACACATGTCAGCACTGAAAATGGAAATGCATATGATGAGCCAGATATTAATCAAATTAGAATCAGCACCAGGTTTTACATGAATTACTTCCCAAACACTGGAGTAAATTATTCCATATTGCCACATTTCAAAAATTTGCATATATGCTAATATTTGAATCATGCATGTTTTAATAATTGATAAGAAAGCTACATTAAATAAATCACTATTTTAATAATTAGTTTAAATGAAGATTAGCAATCTGTATTTAAAAAACAAGAGGAATTTGAAGCCATATGATCTTAGAAGGAAACATTCTCAATTACTTTCAGAAACATTAATAGTTTTTAATTTAATTTAAATGGACTTGTAATTTACATGAACACAAAGTCATCCAAAGCCAATTTTCTGACTATATCAGGTAAACTTTTCCATTTTTATTTATATCTGGTGCAAAGCAGTAATCAAGGCAGTCCTCCTGGAAACTGGTTTTATTGCTGATGCTGTTTAAAAAAATAGAAATAAATATGATTTAATAAATTCATGTAATATATTTATTCTAATCAGAATTTACATTTAAAGAGATTCATTATAAACTATACAAAATTAAGTTTATATTGCTCAAGTGGACACAATTAAGAACTTAACTTTTTAATTATTTAACTGGGACATAGGAAAATAAAGAATAATCTTGCTACAATATTTTATGAATAAATTTGAGAACCAAAATTAATTCCCCGCCTAATTTTTAATTTCTAGCTCCTAAATATCCCCAAAGATACTTTGCTAACTAAATAAGGTAGGCACAGACTATAATGGAAATGTTAAAATAACTACAACTTTACCATAAAAAATTCAGACAAGAAATCGTAGGTTTTACTCCATCAGAAAAATAAACAAAGACAAAGACAATGAATAAAACAAAAGCATGAATTGGGTGCAGTTTTCTGACAACTAGGAAAGATTAAACAAAACATGTTTATTTTAATAAGCATTTTCACAGCTCAAACAACCTAAATTTAAAGGGATCAAAGGACGTGCTTACAAGTAAAAATGCAGACTCTAAATGATGACTAACTTGTAGAAACCTAAATAAGAAAATTGAAACTAGAATGAGGTGGATTCTGGCCAAGACGGAGGCTTAAGTAGATATGCTTTGCATCCTCCCACAACCAAAAGAAGGATAACAACCAATTTAAAAACAAAAAACAACCAGAGAATTGCCAGAAAATTGAACTGTATAGAAGTCTGACAACTGAGGAGTTAAAGAAACATTCGCCCAGACTACTAGGAGGGGTGGAGATGGGAAGCCAGGACAGTGAGGCAATGGCTGGCAGACTAGAATATCCCACATTTGGTGTGAATAAGCTGGAAAGAACACCTGGGGAGTGAGATAGACAGCACAACCCAGGGTTCCAGTGCGGGAAACTAAAGCCTTAAAAAAACGTCTGGCTGTAGAAACCTATGGGTGTTGTAGGCACGGGAGAAATTCTCAGTCTCACAGGAGAGTCCTTTGGAGGGGCCCACAGGATCCTAGAACATACACAAGCCTACTCACCTGGAATCAGCACCTGAAAGGGCACAATCCACATGTGGGAAGCAAGGGAAGAGACTGAAATCTGGGCAGGGGCCAAGCAAATGGCATTATTCACTCTCTGACCCCTCCATAACATAACAAAGTCACTTGCCCTGCCCTGGCAAACATGGCTCTGCCCCTTCCAACAAAACAGGTGCATCAAAGCAAAGAAATATGGCCCAAATGAAAAAAACAGATCAAAACTACAGAAGAAGAACTAAGCAACAAGGAGATAGACAACCTGTCAGGTGCACAGTTCAAAACAGTTAATCAGGATGCTCACAGAAATTATTGAGATCGGTCACAAAATAAAGGAAGAAGTGAAGGCTATACAAAGTGAAATAAAGAAAAATATACAGGGAACCAACAGTGAAGGGAAGGAAACAGGGACTCAAGTCAATGATTTGGAATGAAAGGAAGAAATAAACATTTAAATCAAAGCAGAATGAAGAAACAAGAATTCAAAAAAATGAGTAGAGGCTTAGGAACCTCTGGGACAACTTTAAATATTCCAACATCTGAATCATAGGGGTGCCAGAAGGATAAAAGGAAGACCAAGAAATTAAAGGCTTATTTGAACAGATAATGAAGGAAAACTTCCCCAGTCTGGCAAAGGGACTAGACATGCAAGTCCAGGGCACTCAGAGAGTCCCAAAGAAGTTGGATCCAAGGAGTAACACACCAAGACACATCATAATTAAATTACCCAAGATTAAAGATAAAGACAGAATCTTAGTATCAGCAAGAAAAAGGAGAGAGTTGCCTACAAAAGAATACCCATAAGACTATTCACTGATTTCTCAAAAGAAACATTGCAGGCAAAAAGAGGCTGGAAAAAAGTGTTCCAAATCATGAAAGGCAAGGACCCACATCCAAGATTGCTCTATCCAGCAAAGTTATCATTTAGAATGGAAAGGCAGACAAAGTGCTTCCTAGATAAGGTCAAGTTAAAGGAGTTCATCATTAACAACACCTTATTATATGAAATGTTAAAGGAACTTACCTAAGAAAAAAGATCAAAACTATGAACAGTAAAATGACAACAAACTCACAACTATCAACAACTGAACCTAAAAACAAAAATGAAAACACACCAAACAAACAACTAGAACAGGAACAGAAATACAGTAATGGAGATCACATGGAGGGGAGTGAGAGTGGGGAGAATGAGAGGAAAAGGTACAGGGAATAAGAAGCATAATTGGTAGGCACAAAATAGACAGGGGAAAGTTAAGAATAGTATAGGTAATGGAGAAGCCAAAGAACTTATATGTACGACCCATGGACATGAACTAAGGTGGTGGGAATACTGGAGGGGGATCAGTGCAGGGTGGAGGAGGATAGAGGGGAGGAAAAAATTGGACAACTGTAATAGCATAATAAAATATACAAAAAAATGGAAAATTGAAACTAAAGAAGTTAGAGGACCCATAAATTATGGCTCAAGGAGAGAAAAATTAGCCTGAAATTTCTACTACTGAATTTACTTAAATATACATATTTAAACATAGATATATTTATATGCATACTGATAAATTTTCCTCATCTTTTGCTAGATTATAAGACTTTAAATTTTAACAAGATGAAAGATAATTTTATGCAGTGTTAGAATCAGTATATATCTTAGACTCAACAGACAAAACTGACAATAATTGCTTAACATTGGCATCATCACCCTGCTCTGCCAAACTTTAATTCTCTAATTTCCTGGTAAACAAATAAAATAATTGTACCTGTCTGTCAGTAGAGTTCGTGGATAGTTCTATTCGTGGGAGAAAAACTGAATTTTGAAGGGTAGATCTCTGGCAGGTGTCACATCAGCCTCTGATCAACACATTCTATAGGCTAAGAGAAAGAACAAAGATACCGGCATGTGTTTAGTGACTGTGTGAAATTGGATATTCACATCTCCAATAAAGCCTGGGTGCTTCCATTTAATTATTAATTTTTTGGTTGTTGACTAATTGGAGATGTTGATTTGTTCATAAAAACAATGGGAAAGGACAGGCAAGCATCTCTACCTACATTACCCTGAGCCTAGAGACAGAAGAATGGCTTTAAATCTTATCTTTGAGGTCTTTATGACCTTCATTAGGTTAGTGTGACTAAGATCCATATTTCTTTTTTGTAAATGAAACCAATCACCTAAATTACTTCATGTGAGAAAAAACTCATTAGCCCCCATTAGACCCTTTGAAAGGAGTGGACCCCATACAATACCTTGATTTCAGATTTCTGGCCTCAGATCTTTGAAAGAATTCATTTTTGTTTTAAATCACCAAGTTTGCAGTGGTTTGTCAGGGCAGCCTTAGGAGACTGACAGTGTCGTCCATAAACATCTTGCTTTGGCACATTTTTCTGATGGAACATATGCTAGGCATACAGGGCACAAAAATAATTATGGTATAATTACTTCAAGAGCTCACTTTCTAGAAGGAAATGGACACCTGTTCAATTAACTCAGTGTGATAATGTTATCAGTATGAAAGGAGTACAGAAGAAGATGGGAATTTTGGCAAGGCTATTCAGGAAATGTCAAGTGGTATGATGAGAATGGACTATAAGCATGGAAAGGGACAGGAAATGACACTATAAAAGAACATAAAGATAAACTTTTAAAGACTTGATCATTATTTTAAAGATTTTAGGGCTTTGTCCTATAGGTTTGAGGTAGTTAATTTTAAGTGCCAACTCCAAAAGATAGACAGTTGTTACTTCAAGTTTGGTGTTTAAATGAACATTTGGCTCATTTTTTATATTCACCAAAAATGTATTAAGACCATATTATGTGCAGTGGTATGCTAAGGATTTCAAATTTAGTGGTTGGCAAGGTAGACACAAACCTTGCCTTATTGATCTTATAAACGAAAGGAGGAAAAGAACTTTGATTGGTTAGACATCAGCCTGTGTGGAGAGGGCATGCTTGCAGTACATTTATTCCCCATGCTTTAGGAAATGGGGAGCTAACCAGAGTAATGACCAGAATGTAACTGCATTTCATGTGAATTGCTCAGTAGTTGAGAAGAACGAACTAGTCTGGGAAAAGACCCAGGGCAAAGATATCTATAAAAGCTATGGTAACAATCTTAGAAGAAATTATAAGAATCATAATTAAGGAAGAAACAGTAAGAATGGAGGAGGATAGTCAGATTAAAACTACATTCCAGAAGCAAAATTGACAAAATCTTGTAATTAGTTGGGTACAGGAAGTGAAGTTGTAGTGGAAGCAAACCTCTGATCATCTTTAGTTTAGATTATTACAATCCATGTCAAATTTGATTGTACAATGCAACATAATTTCATTATCAGTAAGAAAGGAAAAGAACTCACTTTCTTTCATTGGTAATACATTACTAGCAATGACATAATACATTCTTATCCCTTAAAATTTTTAGCAACTGAATCAACTGAAAGATCTATTTTAGATTTACTTAAGTAGAAATTTTAAAAGTCACAGTTCACTCTTCTGAAAAGGAAAATGTAAGCAAAATCAATTGGTTGAAGTATTCCTAAAATATTTTCACATTCACAGTCTAGCTCTTACAAGTCATTTTTCTACTCAGAATTATCAAAATCCATTTTTTTCCATACAATATTATCCTCTGTTCCAACAAAATTTCTCCACCATTGTTTCTGAGATTTTCTTTGAAGTTGTAGGCTTTGATGCTGTCACTTTGTTGATCTCACAAGAACGTGTCAAAGGAAGGCTGTTAGACAACATCTAGAATTTATATGCTTTCAAGTGATTCTTAAAATTTTTCTTGATTAAAAGGTCATAGAAATTCCATTGTCCAACTATATCAAAAGGAATGATTAAGACATTCATGAATGCAACAGCAATGAAAATTATATTATAGCTGTATCCTGGGTCAACCCAATGAGAAATTATTTCATAATTTCATCAATTATGAGATATATCTTACTGTCAGAGATGTTAAAATGAGGGAAGAAAGTGCATTTTAAAACTGATGAAATACAATAAGGACTTAAGACAGGCAGTACAGGGATGCCTAAGATTCAATTTAAATTGTTTTGTTGTCATTTCACTAGAAACACAAATGTCATGCATAACTCTCAGAATATTATTGAGGAATGAGGGATAGTGGATATCTTGAACATATGCTTCCTTAAACTATGTGCCTTAATATTTTAGGAATATTCATTGGTAAATTTGTGAGTAATAAAGTGCGTATACATTTGGTTGAAATGTGTACTAAGGCTGTCTGTATTTCCCTCCTTGGGTACTTTCACAGGGACTTGGGTGTGTACTTTCTCTGTCAGCTCACAATTGGGCCAGGCAGCAGAAGACACAGAGACACCCCTGGCTGCTTCTATAAAGCACTGGATGTAAATCAAAGGGCAGACCTCAAAGATGCCTTCAACTGGCTCCACTTGTCACCAGGAGAATTTTTGTTTTACAAATACATTATACTGATCAGAGTCTGTGTATTAAAAATATTTTTTAGAAAAGATTATTTAGGTTAGTCTCCGTTTCCTGCCGTTTGAAGAATTTCAAGTGAATTTATCCAGGTTTAGAGGAAACCACTAGTAAAGTGAAAATTTAGTCTGTTCTCATTATCTATTACTTTTTAGTTAGATAAGCTAGGTTTTACAATTACCAGTTTCATTTTGAACTCATGTAATTCAACTATAGTTTGTTTGCTTTTCCTAGTAACAGTAAATAGATGAATAGCAGTGAACTCCAAGTTGGCACCTTGAAAACATAGTGAAACAGATTCTCTTTCAGAAAAAAAATGAATTAAACAATGGTGAACCTCATATGATTAGAAGGGAGGGAATATGATTAGATGTGCACCTTTTGGATATGACAAAACTATGTTCAAAGATCACCAACACCATAACTTCCTTTCTATGTGAATTTGGCATACAGGGTGAAGCAAATGTAGGTTTATAGTTATGAGTATGTAAAACACAGAGTTTAGATCAAAGATGGCAGAAGAGTAAATGGAAACTATACTAACCTCCTTTCAGGACCAATCTGGAATTACAACTGAATTGTAGAGAAATCTTCCTGAATAACCAACTGAACACTAGCTGGAGAGAAGCCTTATAACTAAGGACAGACAGAAGAAACCACTTTACCACAACAAGACTGTCACTTACCCTGGGGTATAGCAGAGGGAGGGCAGAGTACACTAGAGACACTTAAGGAGAGTCTGGGGATGGTGGCTCTGGGAAGAAAACTGAATGAACAGCCTCTAGGATCCCTATGATAAGTCATTCCCCATACTACAGGATCCATCTTCCTCAGGCAGAGCACTTCCCTCCAAGTGGCACCAGCCTGAGGAGAAGCAATAGACCCATGCTAAGGAATTACTCTGCCCCATTCTGTGGAGTTTAAGCAGGGCTGCTGATCACAGCTTGATTAGCTTAACAACTGATCAGTTTAACAGCTGCTTAGTTTAAGAGCTAAGGTGGAAAATACAAAGAAGCAGCAAAAATCAGAAGACAAAGAAACACACCCCAAATGAAAGAACCAGACAATTCTCCAGAAGAGGAACCATATGATATGGAGACAAGCAATTTATCTGATCGAGAGTTTAGAGTAATGATTATAAGGAAACTGAAGCATGTAAAAAAAACATAGAAACCATAAAAAGCCAGTCAGAAATGAAAAGTACAATATCTGAAATAAATTATACACTGGAAGGAAAAAATAGAGCGTTAGATGAAGCAGAGGGCAAATCAGTGTTTTTGAAGACAAGGCAGAAAAAAAAACACCTAGATGGAGCATCAAAAAGAAAAAAGAATTACAAAAAATGAGAGCTTAAGAAACAATTTGGACAACATGAAGTGCAACAACATCCACGTTATGGGACTACCAGAAGGAGAAGAGAGTGATCAAGGGATTGAGAACCTATCTGAAGGAATAATGTCCTAAAACTTCCCTAATCTATTGAAGGAAAAAGATACACAAGTCCAGGAAGCTCAGAGAGTGCCAAAGAAGTCGGACCCAAAGAGCCTACACTGAGAAACATCATAGTTAAATGACAAGGGCTAAAGACAAGGAGAGGATCCTAAAAGCCCCAAGAAAAAAGCAAGTAGTTACACAGAAGGGAGCACCAATTACACTGTCATCTGATTTCTCAAAAGAAACATTTCAGGCCAGAAGGGAATGGTGTGAAATTTTCAAGGTGATAAAAAGCAAGGACCTACAACAAAGGCTACTTTACCCAATAAAGCTATCAATTAATTCAAAGGAGGAATAAGGAAATTCCCAGACAAGAAAAAGCTAAAGGAGTTTAACACCAAACCAGCAATGCAACAAATGTTAAAGGGCTTGCTAGAAGAAGAAAAAGAAAAAAGAAGAAAGAAGAAGAAGAAGAAGAAGAAAAGAAAAACAGACTAATAATAAAATGCCACTACATATGTATCTATCAATAATCACCTTAAATGTAAATAGCTTAAGTGCTTCAACCAAAAGACAGAGGGTAGCTGAATGGATAAGAAAACAAGACCCAAGTATATGCTGCCTCCAAGAGACCCAACTCAGATCTAAAGGTACACACAGACTAAAAGTAAAGGGATGGAAAAAGATATTTCATGCAAATGGAAAAGAAAAAAAAAGCTGGGCTAGCAATACTTATGTCTGACAAAATAGACTTTAAAACCAAAGCTATCATAATTGACAAAGAAGGACACTACATAATGATAAAGGAATCAATCCAACAAGAGGATATACTGTAGTAAACATTTACTACACACCCAAAATAGGAGCACCTAAATAGGTAAAGCAAATCTTGATAGACATAAATGGAGAGATTAACAGAAATACAGTCATAGTTGGGGATTTTAACTCCCCATTGACTTCAATGGATAGATCTTCCAGGCATAAAATCAACAAGGAGACAGCAGCCTTGAAGGACACACTATATCAAATGGTTTTAATTGATATCTTCAGGCATTATACCCCAAAGCAGCAGAATATAAATACTTTTCAAGGGCACAAGAAAAGTTTTCTAGGATAGACCACTTGTTAGGACACAAGTCTCAATAAATTTAAGAAGATTGAAATTATATCAAGCATCTTCTCTGATCAGAATGCTATGAAGCTAGAAATCAATCACAAGAACACTGAAAAACATGCAAGGACATGGAAGCTAAATAACATGTTATGAAACCATGACTGGGTTACCAAGAAGATCAAGAAAGAAATCAAAAGATACCTTGAAACAAATGAAAATGAGCACACAATAGTCCAAAATCTCTGGGACACTGGGAAAGCAATCTTAAGAGGGAAATTCCCAGCATTACAGGGCTATCTCAAAAAACAAACAAACAAACAAAAAAAAAAACAAGA